AACTAGTATTCTAGGAGGAAACCGATACATTAAATGTCATTTAAGAGTCTGATAACATCTTGGCCGTTGTGCAATGATTGTTTCCCTCAGGTCCATGTTTCTTCCATTATTCCTGCATGCTGCCAGACAGTTATGCCCGAATGATAGTCTGCCACATAAGCCCTAGGAAGAGTCCGACCTCACTAGAACTCCGCCCAGGTTCAAGGTCTGCTGTCCAGTTCGGCCTGGCTGTGAGTTCCTTTCATGGGCCTGATTCCTAGTTAGGCCCAGCGGCAAAGTAACATTAATCTCGTTGAGGGCTAATCCCGTTTAGGGCTTTATCCCACTTAGGGTTGATCCCGTTTATGGGATTCCATTATAATTCTATATTTGAGCCATGGCTGCAGTCCATGGTACTATCAATATACTTGTTCTTTACTTATATTTTTACATATATTACATCTAATTAATATATTAAGTATACATATTAAAGTATTAAATATAAGTGTACTTCTCATCTTATAGTAGTATACTTATATATTATGTACTATAAACATTATATTATATATTAGTTATACAATTAATTCTATCTACTTATATACTTGTTATCTACTTTAAAATACATATATTATATCTACTTATATTTATTATCTACTTAATATCTACTTATTATATACTTGTTATCTACTTATATTTACACACACACACACACACACACACACACACACACACACACATATATATATATATTAAATATAAGTGTACTACTCATCTTATAGTAGTATACTTATATATTATATACTAATAACATTATATTATATATTAGTTACACTTTCATTGATACTAGTTAAATTTATCATTTTATCCTATTACTTACACACTCTTACTCCTATTAATTAGTATACATTCATACATTTTTCCTATTAGTTACATTTTTCATTAATATTAGTTAATTAGTTAATTGTTACATTTTTCATTTGGTCACCTTTAATATTTGTTACATTCTCATTTGTTACATACTAATATTTATTGCATTTTTAGTTGATTTTACTATACTTGTCACATTATCATATTAGTTAACCATATTTGTTACATACTAATATTAATCATATAAATATTGTGAGAGTAAAATATAAAAGTAATTGCATTTTTAGTTAATTTTACTACACTTGTTAGATTAAACTATTAAACTAGTTGAAATTTTAGTTAATTTTACTACTCTTGTTAGATTAAAATATAAAAGTAGTTCGGATTTTAGTTAATTAAACTATTAAACTAGTTGGCATTTTAGTTGATTTTACTACACTTGTTTGATTAAAATATAAAAGTAGTTGGAATTTTAGTCAATTAAACTATTAAACTAGTTGGAGTTTTAGTTAATTTTACTAAACATGTTAGATTAAACTATTAAACTAGTTGGAATTTTAGTTAATTAAACTACACTTGTTAGATTAAAATATAAAAGTAGTTCGAATTTAGTTAATTAAACTATCAACTAGCTCGAATTTTAGTTAATTTTACTACACTTGTTAGATTAAAATATAAAACTAGTTGGAATTTTAGTTAATTTTACTACACTTGTTAGATTAAAATATAAAACTAATTCGGATTTTAGTTAATTAAACGAAACAATTCCACTTTTGGTCCCATGACTATTATACCACTTCCACATTTAGTCCCTTACTTTCAGATTGTCCACATTTAGTCCGTGACCATTATCCCCTCACCACCCCTCATCCTTCGGGCCAAAATTTCGGCAAATTTAGTCCACTTATCAGCCTCAGAATCAGTCTTTGCATTAAATTTATATAAGGTTGGGTTTTTCATATCAGTCTTTGCATTAAATTTGTTTTTTCATACCTAAAATCTGCATTAAATTTGTTGGAATTTTGGCCGAAAGGACGAGGGGTGGTGAGGGGATAATAGTCACGGACTAAATGTGGACAATCAGAAAGTAAAGGACTAAATGTGGAAGTGGTATAATAGTCACGGGACCAAAAGTGGATTTTTTTTTAATTAAACTATTAAACTAGTTGGAATTTTAGTTAATTTTCCTACACTTGTTAGATTAAAATATAAAAGGTGTTGGAATTTTAGTTAATTAAACTATTAAACTAGTTGGAATTTTAGTTAATTTTACTACACTTGTTAGATTAAACTATTAAACTAGTTGGAATTTTAGTTAATTAAACTACACTTGTTAGATTAAAATATAAAAGTAGTTTGAATTTTACTTAATTAAACTATTAAACTAGTTGGAATTTTAGTTAATTTTACTACATTTGTTAGATAAAGTAATATTTTAGTTACATTTTTATATTAGTTGCATTGTATCTGTAGTCACATTAACATATTTGTTAGAATTTAATATTTGTTACATTTTAAGATGGAGTGAGGTAGAGATTCTGTAGATATGGGTAACCTCCAACGCAATCGAAAGAAGGAGATTGGGAAGAACCATCCTAATTCGCGAGGCAAAGGTAAAGGACATGTCGGGTCTTCTTCTCAAAGCCGAGATGATTTTGACACGACTTACAACCGGAGAGATGCGATGTCCGATGAGCAACTAGCTCATCTTTTGAACCAAGGACATGGGCAATTTTACCAACAAGTAGACACTCCCGAGATTGATGAAGAGCTCGACGATGACGACACTGAAGAGAATCAAGGCGACTATGGAACCCCTGACGATGGAACCCCCCGACGATGGTAGTCATGGAACCCCCGACGATGCAACCCCCGACGAGGACGAGGCTTGTTCATCCCAACCCGGTAAGAAAGGTGTATCTCTCCTTATGAAAAATAATTTTAAAAAGTGGAAGGACCCCAAACCGAGAAGTGGTGGGCAATTTGCAAACATTGTAAAAAAAATTAGCTTGGAGATTTCCCAAAGATACGGCGGCGCCGATAGGCATATTAAGAGTCGTCACCCCGTGGAGTATGCAAAATTAAAAGGCAAGGGGAAGCAAACTCAAATATCGAGGTTTGCAACTGGTCAACCCTGTGATAATTTCTCCTATGATGATTCCAAACATTTAACTACTATGTCTGAATTAATTGTTGAAGAAAATTTGTGTTTTATTTTTTCTGAAAGTCTTGCTTTAAAAGTTTATGCTAAAAATCTTTAAATCATCAATTTAGAAACTATAGTCACAAAACTATTAAAAAAGAAGTTATCAGGCGATAATGTTTTGAAAAAGTAGAGATTACAAATGTGTTTTGCAAACATTGTTGGGCGTGTCAGTATTTGTAGTGATATATGGGAGGATACTTATCATCATTTGTATTATTTGGGTGTGGTTGCACATTATATTGATGATGATTGGGAAATGCATAAACGTGTTCTTTCTTTTCGTGAATTTAATGACCGACACACCGCTAATAATATTTATATTCTCATTGAGCGTATTTTAATTGAGTATAATTTGATTGATAAGATGTTTGCTATGAGTTATGAAAATGCTAGTAATAATACTGCTGCTATACCTAGATTGCATGATTGAGTGGTCCTTCTACTTTGGTGGGTAGGTTTTTTCATCAACGTTGTGCATGTCATATTCTCAATTTATGTGTAAAAGACGGGCTAGTCGCGTTAGGAGATGCTATGAAGATAGTGAAGGGCAGAATTAGACTTACTTGGGCTAGTAATCCACTTAAAATGCAATGACGTCAATATTTGATGATAGACGTGTGAAATATTATGCGTTTCCTAAAGGTTTATCTATTCGTTGGATTAGTACTTATAACTTAGTTGTTGTACTTATTAGATTTAAAGACCATTTTCCTGCTTTTAAAAGAATATGCTAATTATATTATAAATCCGGCTGACATCGACACTGTGCAAAAAATTGTCGATGTTTTGGTATATTTTAATAATGCAACTCAAACTTTTAGTCATGTTTATAAACCTACCGCAAACCAATTTTTTGTTGAAGTTGTTAATCTCGCTGGCGCTTTTTGTGAATTTTCCGACGCCCCTTACGTTCATCATTTTTGTTCTTTCATGAAAGAAAAGTTTTAAAGATACTATTCACATATTCCGCATATATATGGTATTGCATTTATTCCTTGATACTCGTTTCAAACTTAATGCTTTTCAAAATTGTTTAGAGTACTATTATGCTTCTTTTTTTGTCCATTTCCTATGTACGAAGGTAAGCCCATAGATCTTAAAGAGCAATACAACGAGATTAGTAACTTATTTCATCAATTATATAATGAGTTTCATGAACAAGAATTTAGTGCGACGACAACGTCTAAGTGTCCAACGTATTATAGAACGAGATTTAGCGCAAAATCTCCTGAGACGCTTGTTTGTTTCCACGATTGGTTGAAAGCCCAACATAGAACTCAATAAGTTAACAACACCCCCACCCACCATGGTGCCAGAGATTCCAACTAATTTTTAGGAAATAATGTATTTAATGTTTTAAATTTTACTCAATTTTCAATTGTAGTTCATATTTGAAATAAATATACTTTAACTTTTTATTGTCTAGCACTTGTTGAATTAAGTTTTAATCTAAATTTAAAAATTAATAACCCGACCCGAAACCCGGCCAGGTAGTCCGACCCGACCCAGTCCCGATACCCACCCGGGCCAATTCCAGGCCTTCATCCCAGGTAGTCCATGCCTATTTGTCCAATTAAAACTCATAGATATTGTTATTGTCATTATTATTTCTTTAATTTATATCCTTACAAAGTAATTGTATTAGTTTTCATCTCTATAACATGGACTATTTTCTTTTTAGTTCATCAGTAACACCAAGCAAGAACACTCCATTATTAAATTTATCCTTTTAATCTTTTTGTGAATATGAAAGTTAAAATAATGTAAAACTAATCAATCACATTTTGAAAATCTTTGTTAAACAAATGTTATTAACTTATTATGATCAAGGAGGGACTAAAAGGAAAAGCAACATTAATTAAAATAAGTTTACAGGGGCGTAAAACAAAACACACTATATTTGGAGGAACCAAAAACATATTTAAGCATAGTAAATATGACAAATGACAAGCACAACACAGACATACAAATTATCAATAGTAACAATAAATAAAAGAAGTTTTTTAGAAATAGCTGTTTTAGCACACGTTTTACATCAAAGCTGCTAATTGTATGATTGTATCCACTCCATAACAATCAATTATGAATTTCACACAAAAAATATGCTGCATGTCTACCTCGATTCCCCACTTGATGTAATCTGGGGACTCACAAGCCTTGTACTCATCGACAAGACTCTCAATTACGTTTCTAGAGTCATCAAATTCTGACAGGTCATTGTCCTGCAAATGTTGCCCCGTTAATATAAGTTGTCAAATGTCCAAACAGATACCAATTCGAAATTGTAACTTTGACATCGCAATTTCGATAACCTCTCAATGCATGTCCAAGACATTATACTTATGTAAGCAGATGGATTTACAAGTTTTGAGCCATTTGCGTTTTAACTCAACCTTTTGCAGAAAGTAAGCCAAATTTAGCAAGTATAAGAAGTGGTGTTTTATGTGCCTCATACTCTTTGGTTGTGAGGACTAATAGAGCATAATTTATAAGAACAGAAAGAAAAATCCAGCTTTGCATCTTCTTTTTGCATTTACTAATTGGCTAAGCATAAATACACATCAGTTTTTATCAAGGAAAAGAAGTTGTAATGCAACTTACAGCAAACATCGCGAGATTCTTATAGTTGTCAAGAAAGGCTTCTCTCTTCCTCAACTTCTCATATTGGCTCAAACACTTTGAAAATAAGTGACGGATGCCTGTATGGCTTGCAAGCATAAGACCGCTGACCTAAGAGGAATGTATAACTATTATACTTCTTCTGCACTGATTCCAATCCTCACGGTGCTAATAATTATAAGGAAAATGTGCTCAAACAGTTATTTGGGGATGCACAACATATATCTTAGTCTTCCAAGACAAATCAAAGAATCAATCAAGAGGGGATCAGAAAAAATCAGATATGTTTAAATGGAAGATTCTATTAATAAATCATCAATAATGTGATATGAAAAATAATTAATTGCTAATTACCATCTTTTACCCAGTTTACATTCTTGTATTAGACTATAAATCAGGTTAGTTTTGACTTTTGGGGTAAAATAGTCAGCTTTGCTAAGGTGGGAAGTGTTATACTCGTTGGAGAGTTCAGTTTGCGGCACTAGGAGAGTTCTCAATTGTTGGAGAGTTCGGTTTGGGGCACTAGGAGACTTCTCAATTGTTGGAGAGTTCGGTTTGGGGCACTATGATGGGTGACCACAACATAGGATGCAATCTGCCCAGGCTTTCCAAGGGCATCCTCCCCTTTCATATGAACTGACCGGATCAGATCTTCCACAACTGTTGATGCAATCGGATCCAGCCCAGCTGTGGGCTCATCGTATAACAGCACCTGCCAACATTGGATTATTGGAAATACCCTCATTTTCATCATTCACTTGCAAATAAGTTACTGATATGTTTTGATCCCAGAAAACGCTATGGAAAGGGGACAAAAGTGCCGAGAACAAATATTTTTTGGTTTTACATTGATAAATGCACAAGGAAATTAAATTTAATTATTTCTTTCAATTTTTTTACATTTACTTATGTTTCTTTGTGGCACACATAAACAAACAAACAAACAAACAGTGTGTGTGTGTGTGTGTGTTAACAAATATCTCAAAAAACATTTATTGAGTTTTAGCCTATCTTTTATTTTCCAACATTTTCTTTCTGATTTTTCCCATATGCTTTCCTTCCTCATTCAAGCGATTGATTATAAAACAAAAAAAATTATTAACTAAAAATACAAACAGCAGCAACACTAGGCATTGATCCTTATCTGTTGAAGTATGACGCAATATGAGATAGTTTAATAAGAATAACGCGAATTCATCATTTCTTTTCCACCCACCTTTGCATATTCTAGAGTATGCATGCAAAATGGACATTTAGACCTCTTTTGGATTACCTTCCAAGTACAGGGAATTCCCTTTTTCCCAGGAATGAGGTGTGATGGTTTCGAATTCAAAAACCTGAGAGCTTGGGTATTCCTATATTTTCTCAGTTCATGAATTTGGGAGTTCAAGCCTAAAGTACACCATGGTTCATGGTTGTTGAACAATTCCTCGGAAGTAGTTGAGTTCACTGGATTCTTTTGAACTCCTGAACTCCCCATCTGACTTTAACTAATTTCTAGTAATTCAAATTCAACTATCAAATCAATCCAAACAATGCCTTATAGACTAAGAGGAAACCTCAAAACAGCACTGCAATGAACGCTAACAAAACCAACAACAACAACAACAACAACATCCAAGCCTTAGTCCCAAAAGATATTGGGGTCGGCTAACATGAATCGATACATGATATCACAAACAAAAGGAAAAGAAGGAATAAAGATAAAAAGATAAGCTATTATGAAAAGATAATATAAAAAAGATGAATATATATATATAAATGATAAAATAAAAAGGTTGCAAATAATGCTTATAAATATATATATATATATAAGGATAAAAAAAACTACGAAAAAAAAAGATGAGGGAAAAAAATTATCAAGATCACTCCTTCACGTGAATTAACGATATTCATATTTCGATTCATGTCATGTGATGTGACTAGGTGATACTGTTGGCCGTCACACGCCTACCACAGCACCCTCCTCCTTTATCCTGGCTTGGGACAGGCATGATACCAAAAAAATGATATCATGGCGGAGTTATGCAGTAGAAAACCACAACCTCAAAATATATCTTCTCTAATAGAAATTTAAAAAGATGCTTAAATTGGTACTAGTAAATTAGTAATTAAAATAAGAAAAACGACTAACAGAAATTATACTGTGTAACTTTGCTTCCTAAAAGGCCATAGCCAATATGGAATGTGAACCTCAATTAGTTCTCAGTTATGGGTTTATAAGGGCCTGAACTTATAATCTAATGGTCAATGGGAAACACTTGGAGTCATTGATCTACACCATACACCAACCTTTCATAGATTAATACGGACTAATACCATAATGAGTAAAATCTTGAAAGATCTCCAATGATATACCACTATAAGTATAAATATGATGGCTTATAATTCATAGCATGTATAGAAGTATTACAGGGTACAGAAGTCAAATACCTAATAACCATTGCATCAAGATTCAAGAATACCTGTGTAGGATCTACTTCTCCTTGAATAATGTTTAATATTGATATATACTTTGCCTGACTTGCTGCTTTTGTCCGCGCATAAGAGGAAACCATTATATTCTTAGTCTGCAAAGAAGAAAGCTTCAAGTATATTAGGTGTTCATTATTTGCAGAACAATTCATGAGAGTCGTATCTCACCTGAAGAAGTCTTCTCATCACATCCAAGACTGTTGTCTTGCGTATTACATTGGGCTGTGAGAAGGACTATCTGAATCACAATGCCGTTTTTTTTCTTTTGCCAAAAACAAAAATGCATTACTGACATAAGTTCTTACCATCATGTGATGTAATATTTTTGGGAGAATTTGACTTTCCACCCCATGTTTTAGGTGATATTGGACTTTGCACCGCATTTTCAAAATCATCAATGTGTGCACCCCATCAGCCCAAAAATTGTGAAGGAGTTGGGTGCAAAGTCAAATATCACGTTATCACCCATAAAATGCGATGCAAAGTCAAATTCTCCCTATATTCTTCCCACATTTCATCCAGTTGCAGCAATCAGACATAGATAAAGATATGTGAATTTACACTTAATAGATGGACATGGTCAATGTTCATAAACGTGAGTTGGATTCCAAAGGTGAAAGTGCGGTCTCAATTGGGTGATTACTTATATGATGTCCTTAGTGCACCAAACATTCATCTTTAAGTTGGCATAACCATTTCAAGTTATTATGATGTGAAATACATCACGTATAAGTTGACATTGCATTGATGTCGTCCTCCACTTCTTGAAATTTTCATTTCTATAATAACACTCATTAACCAATAATGCCAATAAAAGTGGGAAAAACACATCATCGGTGACACTAACATAAAACATTGCTTTGGCATCAATGTTTGGAAGGAAACACACATCTTCTTTTCTTAATTTAAAGGGAAAACTGTCAATTTGATCCTCATTCAATCATGAAAAAGTCAATTAAGTCCTCTTACTTTAAAAAAAACAATCAAATCATCTAACTTTGTAAAAACGTTCAATTGAGTCCATTAGCAGGTTACCTGCCATGTAGCAAGTCAACTGCTGACGTGGCACGCATGTGGCAGCCTAGTCAGCAGTGACATTGGTGAAGTGGTGCACACGTGGAAGTCTAGTCATCCCTTTGACTATGACATGGCGCACACATGGACCGCCATGTGTGTGCCACGTCAGCAAGTAACCTGCTGGCATGGCACTAATTGACTCAATTGAACGTTTTTCAAAGTTCAAGGATTTGATTGCTTTTTTTAAAGTATGAGGACCTAATGGACTTTTTCGCGATAGTGCGAGGATGAAATTGACAGTTTTCCCTAATTTAAATGATTAAACATGTGTGAATATTTAACCCATCTGCACACCGTTCAGATAAACCTAATGGTCAAATACATAAAATGTCCTTTCAATGTTCATATACAGATACACAATTCACAGACCAACTGGCATTCTGGAAAGAGCAGTTTGACGCACAAATATAAACTGGAAAAAACAAAGACAAAAACAAGCCCCTAATTTCAGGCCCGGATATATGACCTTTTAGGAGATTGTGCAACTTATGAAGGACGTTGAAACATGGATTGTGATGATGATCACAACATAAATAGATTAAATAACCCACTTTGACTCTATATTGTAATAGTCAACTTAATCTACCAAGCATGTACAAATAGAACGATTAAGAATAGAAATCTAACTTGACGCTCCACAGTGAGTGGTGTATATCCCGTCATCAGAAAATGGCACCTTGGTGTTGGTATAAGAGAAGCGAGGAGGCCAACCAAGTCATTATTCATATATCCTGGATACCGCAATGTTGTTGTGCTTGCTGACATGACAGTAGAAACTAAAGAATTTGTCTGGGCAAAAGTGGGAGTTGTTATATGAAGGCGCTCCACAGCTATTTTATTGAGCGCCGTGTTATCAAGAACAACAACACAATCGGCGTTAAGTGTTAGCCTCTTGAGTGTGAGAAGGGAGTTGTATGGCTGAACAACCACATCACTTGTCTCGTTTTGGTTTGGGAATACGCTGTATGTCTGAACAAGTTTTTTGCTATACCGGTCATTAAGAGTCTCTAACAAATATGAGCCCATACCTACACCAGAACAAAGTAATTAATGGACAGAGAATAAAAGTTCATTAAAATGTCAGGCAGCACACAAAGAATTTGTTTGAACAACCATTGCTAAACAAAAAAGTGTTTCTGAAAACAGAAAAATAAATAAAAATAGGTCTAAATTGACGAAGGAGAAATAACCTGAGCCAGTTCAACCAGCAATTGAGTGGCAGAGAACAAAACCCTCAAGACTATCACTTCCATCAGCCTCCCTATCAATCATGTCCATTAAGTCTTCCTCATATAATTTTCCCTAATTAAGTATTACACAAATAATTCAGTAATACGACATATCATGTAATTTTCTAGAATTGTGGGAGACATGAAAACAATAAAAAAATCATAAATACATAAATTAGTAGAAATGAAAAAGTAAATCTAAAGATCTACGCCACATCTAGATAAAAACTTCACAAAATCGAACATTGAATTACTTCTACTCCTTCCTTTTGAAATAACGGCTGATATATTACTAAACACAAAAATGTGACTTATAATACACAATGACTAAAAATAGTTGTTGTAATGATCGAGATTATGTTCGATTGCACACTGCCATTAATCATCATAGTACGGACACTCATAGTAAGTGTGGGAAAAAACACTTCCGAACAACTTCTATTTAAGTAATATTTTAGGAAAACCCATTTTCCTTTTAACCAAAAGCTTCAAGTTTCAATGTAAGAAGGTATCTCGCCCAACTTTGAGCTTCCTTTTACTATCCAAATCTCCATGTAAATTAGAGATACAGACAGAAATTATGTTGATAAAGAGATCTTTATGACGTATCACGCATGCTGGAAAAGGAGATTATCTCTGGCAATCATCATAATTAAGATGAATTATATTTCTAAGTGATTAAAGAGGAGATTAAGCGATTGAATTAAGTGATCTCTAGCAATCATCTTAATTAAGTGATCTTTATGACGTATGCTGGAAGCGGAGATTGTATCTAGCAAAACTATACGGTGAATAATAAGGGAGTTCATTACACGCAGTGTTAACTTATGGTTTCTATCAATCTGGCTACCTACATCTCCAACATGCATAAATTGTTCTAAAGAATGACACCATACTAGGTTTAAAATAATGACACAGTACGACCTCGCCTCATTTTTACAGCTGGCACTCCTTTTCCTTACACTAGAAACGATATGATAAACGAATAAAGTAATAAAAACAAACCTGATGATATCCACTTGCCCAATTATTCCCAGCTCCTCCCCCATGATCAGCAACAAACACATTTTCATGATTGTAAAGGTTTCTGTATTCACCATTCTGTATACCATTAATTACCCTAGGCTCCAAATCCATCAATAAAGCCCGTGGTATATAGTGTTGATCATCAGCCTGATAGAAAAATACATCTTTTCTATCACCTCCCTGCAACATGGCGTATTCAGCACATTTAAAACACGGTAACCCATTCTTGCCAAAATAGAATGAGGGAAGTATTTGAATTGTCGAAGACCCCCCACATGTGGAAGTAGCTATCGTTATAACATAGGTTATGAGGGAAGAGATATGCTAAGAAGCTTTTCATTTCTATACATATGTGTGGTTAGATTCCTAGACAACTCATTTCCAACGAGAGAGAGACATTTCTTTTCATGTAGCAAAAAACTGAAATTGAGAAGAGCTGCAAGGATATTGCGGACTACAAACGCATCTCCCCTTTGATTCTTGTAGACACACAAAATAGACGTAAAACATGCCACGAGTAGCAAATCATAAGGAAATCAAGGTATTACATGTCGCATTGACTGCAGGGAAAGTAATTTTGCAAAAGAAACACAAAATAAACAATAAACAGCATATATAAGGTTAAGTAAGCCATGCACAAAAATCTTCAAGTAGATTAAAAACTTCATATCTTTTACCACACCTTGTTTTTTGCATATATTCCAATCAAATTATATAAACTTTCCAAATAATGTCATACACTCATACCAAGGTTGAAAATACTGCAATTGCTTCTAATTTCACAAAAAAAAATGTATAATATCTCTGACAATATTATTATAAAAACTAAAAACGAGCATTGAAAGGATAAAACTATCAATCACTATCGAGCACTCCAGTGTCCATTGGCATAACTAGGCTCCCCTCAGTTTGAATTTGGCATGTGCAGGAAAAAATAATTCAACTCATAAAAAGTTCTATACTAAAAAAATCGCATACAGCAAAAAGTTATTGGCCGAACTTGGGATGAGGGGTTCAGATTACTTTGGATCTGCTTCTAAAAACTGTTTATGCTCCTTATTGGAGTGTTTGGGTGAAAGAGCAGTATTTCTGAGTTCTCCAAAATGCTCCTAGAAGCAGTTTTTTAAAAAAAGAAGCACGGTAGAATCAATTCCAAACACCCCTATGCATCGATGTCTGAATTCCTAATAAAAACGAAATATTGACCAACATATTCGAGAAACCTTCAGAAAAATCTGAGTCAAAACAAGGAAATTAACAACTTTTGACACGCTCATTAGTCATTACTAAGAGCGTATTTAGAATTGGTTCATATTAGATAAATTCATTTTAATCCTAATAAGATTCCAAGTAAATAATACGTAGTATTCTTTTGTGTTTAACATATTTAATTTTTAACACTGAATTTTAACTAACAATTCCCAACCACAATGTAAACCAATTATAACTCTTAAGTCACTATCAACACATTTTTCGAAAATAACCATAATAAAACCCAAACAGAAAAACAAGAATGACTTTGGTACATTCAGCAAGACATGCATAGACGCGTACGACACAAGATAGAAGGAGTGCAGTAGAGTGAAGAACTGTTCTAATAGTGTAGATTGGGTGTAAGGCCTGATTAGGGCTTAATATGGCTTAGGCGGCCGCAGTTGTGAGATAGTGAACCTGAGTGGCGAAGTCTTCGAGGATGCCATCCTTGCTGATGCCGTGCTCGAGGCAGAGCTGCTTCCAGAATTCCATTCCAATCTGATTCCCGCATTGTCCTACTTGCAGCGTTATAATTTCCCTCGGCATTTGGGACTTCTTTCGTCTTCTTCTTCTTCAGTTAGGGGGTAAAACTCGACTGGTGATCTGCCTAAGCCTTCAACCCTCGACTGCCTTGCGGGGAAGCGCTAATACAGCGCACAAGCAAAATGAACAAGTTAGTTTGGGAGTTCGAAGGAAAGAGGTGAGGAAGGTTTAGAAGGGGAGGCAAAAGGTTTACAAATAGGATAAGTCCATGAAAATTACCTAAACTTTCCTAGATTATTTTCTTGTAAATATTAACTTGACTAAGTAGTTACATTATTGCACTTTTAGTAGAATCACTCTGCACTAACAAACTCTGAAGGTTACACGAGGTTAATTTAAATAAAACAATATGAAAGTGCTAGCGTGCACTCGTAATATTGCACTTTTATTCGAATCACTCTGCACTCCGAATGCTTTAAATAATGTACTACGTATTGAATATGCATAATTAAATAAATATAGGTGCACTATAAAATGCATTTTGTTTATTAACCGGATATAATTTTTCAAAAATCCCCATGCACTTTTGCAATGTAACGTATATAATTTTACTAAAATCCACATGCACTTTTAGCGCCTTAAAGATGCATCATAAAAAACTAAACATTATGCACTTCAAATGTTTGTTTAAGTGCACTTTTATATATTTTCTACTATACTCAATATATTATGCACTTTTAACCCCCAGTGATCGCCCCCGGCACGGCCAAGCCAAGCTCGGGGGAGGTTACAAGGGTAACCTGAAGACTTGGGCGCAACCTATTCTCCTGGAGCATCCTCGGACACCTTTAACGCACCCCGTCAGCGTCATCCTCGACTTCGCTGAGGTGAGGGGTCTGGTGGAACGAGATTCTCGCGCACCCCCGGAGGTATATGCCATCAATCCGAACTACCCTACTGTCGCTTCCACCGACATCAAGGGAACAAAACCGATGACTGCCATCAGCTGAAGACGGCCATCGAGAGGTTAATACAGGCGGGCCATCTGTCCCAATTTGTCCAAAGCCCTCAGCAACAGGGTCCTCCCTACCAAGGCCCCCCCGAGGGCGCCCAGCGAAGGTAAACGCTTGGGTTAACCCAAACACCACCCCCCTCGGCAGGAAGAGGGAGATCGGGAATTTGGAGGAGGGAGAAGAAGAATGCCCCCATGGCCTCGAGAAGAAGCGCCACATCCTCATGATCACCGGTGGCAACACAGGGGGAGACTCCACCAGCCAACGGAAGAAGTGGGCTCAATCGCTATACGTGGGGGAAGTCACTCATATTCCCCCGGTAAAGCGGCTAAGGGAGGAACCCATCACCTTCACTAAAGCCAATCTCTCCCCGGTGTCCTCTCCACACAGGGATGCCCTCGTCATCCGCACGGAGATCAATGATACTATCATCCACAGAACTTACGTTGACACGGGCAGCTCCGTCAATGTAATGTATCTCCGCACCTTCAGAGAGCTGCACCTGGAAAGAGGGTCCCTTCGGCCCATCAAGACCCCTCTTGCCGGCTTCATCGGTGACACCATTGATTCCGAGGGGGTCATAACCCTCCCGGTACTATTCGGCGACGGGCTCCAAAGAGCCAAGCTCGAAGTGGAGTTCGTCGTCGTCAACATCGATTGTGCCCACAACATCATCCTCGGTCGGCCAGCCCTCGAGGATCTCGAAGCTATCATCTCCATGAGGCACCTCTGCCTCAAGTTCCCAGCCGAAAGGGGCATCAGCTACTCGAGGGGAAATCAGAAACTTGCCCGCGCTTGCTATCTCTTGGTGACAAAGAAGGTTAGCAAAACCGAGTTCCGTGTTGACACCATCACCGGGGCTATTGAAGAAGAGGAGAAGAGGCTGAGGGCTGAACCGGCCGAGGACGTAGAAGACTTTGCGCTCGATCCGACCAAGCCGGAGAGAGTCGTGAAGATTGGAGCCCAGCTCCCCGAAGACTTGAAGACCGGCATCATCAGCGCCCTCCGCGCCTACTCCATTGTTTTTGCATGGGGGGCGGAGTACATGCCGGGGATCATCCGAAGGGTCATCACCCACCGCCTCTCGGTGGACCCTTCGGCTAAACCAGTACAATAGCGGAGGAGACCCCTCTCGGCCGAGAGGAGGGAATTTGTGAAGAAGGAGGTCGCCATGCTCCTCTCTATTAAGCACATCAAGGAGGTAAAATACCCCTAATGGCTAGCAAATGTAGTCCTCACACAAAAGCCTGCCACCTTCCGCATGTGCGTGGACTACACGGACCTCAACAAAGCGTGCCCCATGGACCCCTTCCCTTTACCAAACATTGATCAATTGGTAGATGAGACCGCGGGATGCGAAATCATGTCCTTCCTCGACGCCTTCCGAGGGTATCACCAAATTTTCATGCACGAGGAAGACGCCGAAAAAACAGCCTTCATGACTACCGAGGGCATCTTCTACTACCTTGTAATGGCCTTCGGCCTCAAAAACTCAGGCGCCACTTACACCCGAATGGTGGCCAGGGTATTTCAGGCCGTTCTGGGGCGCACCATGGAGGCGTATGTTGACGACATGATCGTCAAAAGCAAGCAATCCTCCAGCCATGCTGACGACCTGAGGGAAATCTTCGCCATCATGCAGAAGTTCAACCTTCGGCTAAACCCAAAGGGGTATCGAGGCCAACCTCGAAAAAATTCAGGCCATCATCAACATGGAACCCCCACGCAACGTGAAGGAGGTCCAACGGTTGACGGGCCGCCTGGCAGCCCTCAATCGCTTCCTATCAAAATCGGCGGAGAAATCCTTGCCCTTCTTCCAGATCATGAGAAAGACCGCCGGTTTCCAGTGGACTTCGGAGTGTCAGGAGGCCTTCGAGGAACTGAAACGGTACTTATCTTCACCCCCTGTGCTCTCAAAACCCAAGGTAGGGGAGACCCTATACCTTTACCTTGGTGTTAGCCCGGCAGCCATCAGCTCAGTACTCATCCGGGAAGAAGATGGCGTCCAGCATGCCATCTTCTATGTTAGCAAGACCCTCAGGGAAGCAGAACTCCGGTATTCCCCTGTGGAAAAAATAGTGTTGGCTATCGTTTGGACTGTCAAGAAGTTGGGTCATTACTTCCAAGCTCACCCGGTCCAGGTCCTCACTCACCAACCCCTCGACGCTTTGATGAGGAGCCCCACCAGCTCCTCCCGAATGGTAAAGTGGGTTGTCTTCCTGAGCCAATACAACATCGACATCCGTCCTAGGCCCGCCATCAAGGGCCAAGCCCTAGCGGACTTCGTGACGGAGTGCACGGCAAGATCAGCAACGGACGAGGAGCCCTCGGCCCCCTCGGACGATTGGTTGACCCTCTACACTGACGGCTCCTCCGCTGTCAAAGCATGTGGAGGAGGGGTGGTTCTCATCTCACCCGAAAGCTTCCGGGCCTATTACGCAGCCCGCTTCTCCTTCAAGGTCTCCAACAATGAAGCCGAATACGAGGCCCTCCTCTGTGGCCTTCAACTGACAGCTAACATGAAGGCCCGACAGATCCACGTCAAGTGCGACTCCAAGTTAGTCGTTGGCCAGATTTCCGGGGAGTACGAAGCCAAGGAAGGAAGAATGAAGCAATACAAGGAGGCGACTAAAGAATTGCTCAAGGTATTTGAGGCACACTCCCTCACCCAAATATCGAGGGCTCAAAACTCTGAGGCCGACATTTTATCGAAGCTCTCGGCCGAATCCCCTGAACATATCTCAAAGATTGCCAAAATCGAGGAGCTCAGCCTCTCTAGCATACATGCTAGCCCCATCATGCACATACAACAAAGGCAAGAGGTCTGGATCTCAGATATTGTCGCTTTCATCACCACAGGCGTTTGCCCGAGGATGAGGCCCGTGCCAAGCTAGCAAAACTGAGGGCTCCCAGCTACGCTATCGAAGACGGGAGGCTTTACAAAAGATCGTACAACGGGACATTACTTCGATGCCTTCATCAAGATGAAGCCGAAGTTGCGATGGAGGAAGTGCACAGTGGCACTTGTTCAGCTCACCAGGGACCCTTCTCCATGTCCCGAAGGCTCATAATCCAGGGCTACTTTTGGCCTACGATGGCCCAGGATTGTGCGGATCTCGCCCGAAGGTGTACCGCATGCCAACACTTCCAGAAAGCCCCCGATAGGCCAGCGGTCAACTATGCCCCCATCAGCACATCCTTACCCTTCGCTCGATGGGGCATAGACCTTGTGGGCCCTCTGCCGAAGGGTACCTTCAACAACAGGTACATCATCGTTGCCATCGACTATTTCACCAAATGGGTGGAAGCTGAGCCCCTCGCCAGCATCACCGAGGCCACGTGCCGTCATTTTGTTCTCAAGAACATCCTCACAAGGTTTGGCGTCCCCCAACAAATTATCTCCAACAACGGGACTCAGTTTGGGCAGCCCCCTTCTGTGCCCTCCTAGAGGCATGGGGCATCAAACACACCTTCTCATCCGTTGCCTACCCTCAAGGCAACGGTCAAGTGGAAAATGCCAACCGGACCTTGCTCGAGGGCCTAAAGAAGAAGCTGGAGGACGAAGGGGGTGGTTGGGTAGAAGAGCTCCACAACATCTTATGGGCCTACCGCACCACCCCTCGGCGAGCAACAGGCGAGACACCCTTCTCCCTTTGCTACGGATTTGAAGCTAAGGCCCCCATTGAGGTAACTATTCCGACCTGAAGGGTCACACAATATGATCCCGAGGTCAATGACGCCAACACGGCCCTCGACCTTCACCTTATTTCAGAACACCGAGAGCAAGCCTTCACACGCGCGGAAAACTACCGAAGGCAAGTGAAGAGTTACATTGATGCCAAAGTCCGCTCCCGGGAATTCCAAGTGGGGGACTATGTCCTCCGAAGAAAGGAAGCTAGCCAACCAACCGAGGGCGGCAAGATGGCACCAAAGTTCGAAGGCCCCTGCATTGTGGCGGCCATCATCAAACCAGGAACTTACAAACTTAAACGCCCCAATGGGACCGAGGTCCCTAGACATTGGAATGTACATCACTTAGTTAGATTTTATCAGTAATAGAGAGGCCAAGCCCTCATAACTAGTGAATGTATTACCCTACGGCCCAAGGCCTTCTATTTTGAAGAATGAAGATATATTGAAGACACAAAAACAGAAGACAAGACTATCATGAGCGGCCAAGCCCTCATACGAGCTCCCGACCCAAGGCCTTTTCGTAGGAGGAAAAACACCAAGTGTTTTCTCCTCAAAGAAGACCCTTCGGATCCAAATGTTTCCTTGGAAGTCCCTTCGGCACCAAGTGACGCATTCCTATCAACCTTCAACAAACACCCAGTGTTTTCAAAGAAGACCCCTCGGTATACCGGGGGCCACAAACCGGAACAAACACCAAGTGTTGTTTCTGAAGCCGTACCCCCTCGAGGACGCATATACCGAAGGCGCCACCTATCGGTGCCGGTAGCACGTAGTGCCCCCGGCCATTTGCAACTAGTGTGCAAATGAAAACCCTTCCCTGAAACACTTTCCGTGTCACTACCCCAAGGGTATGACAGGCAAGTAATATGCCCAGGATTCGACTTTCAAAAATGGAACGCTTTCCACGCCATTTCCCCCAGGGATTGGCAGGCATCTAATATGCCCAGGATTCGACTTCCAAACCGAAACGCTCCCCGCGCCACTACCCCAAGGGTGTGGCAGGCCACTGACTATGTCTGGCGCCGAGGGGACGACTTTCAAAACTGAGGTGCTTTCCGTGCCATCTCCCAAGGGGAGGCAGGCTGCAGACCATGTCTTGTGCCCAGGAAACGACCCTCGATCCCCTCAGAACTAGGAAGGTTAACCCGAGGGGGGAGCCAATGGTGTATTCTGTTGCCTCCCGATAGGCCCAGCCTTACCAAGAAACCAAGTTTCTTGAAGCCTTCCCTTCACTAACAAAAAAAGGGTTGGGGTGGTGAAGGGGAGTAGACTCGGTGAGAAATCAATGAGTACACAACTCCAACAAATCACATCAGAACGCCCTTCGGCATCACAAGGGGTTTTAAAATCATACCGAAGGCTCCCCACGGGAACACCTCCGGTGCCTGAAAGCTCCTAAATTCCCGAAGGATGCCATCCAACAAACATCACCAGGAAAGGGCTAAGTCCTCAATTTGGTCGCCTACAACATCCATCAACACCGAAGGCTCTATTCCTACAAAATGGATAGAATTGGTTAAGTCCACCCAACAACATTTCGAGGAACGCAGAAGGCACCTACTCCCCATCGGCACCTGCTATGACATCAATGTTCTACGAAATTTCCTAAGTCCACCCTTTGAAAACATGACAAGGGCCGAAGGCTCTTATGATCAACAAAGATCGAAGGCAACTACTACTACTCACCAAGGGCCAGTCTCACAGACCGAGGGAGATTCCACCTAAAAATCTGCAAACATGAAGGCTCCACATACCGAAGGCCAGATGATATTCAAACACTTAGAAAGATTTCTAGGTCCTAAAGTGTTGGGCCCTCTATCATTCAACCGAAGGCACACTACGACAAGGCTCTCACAATCACTCGAAGGCTCTTATCTCGTACATCTGGAGGGATCCACTAACCGAGGGCCCAACGTCTAAGTTACGCTTAGAAAATTTTCTAAGTCCTAAACGCTTTGCCTCCGGTCATCTCATGAAGGAATTAGTCGAGGGCCAAGTGATGAACAACACTTAGAAAAAATTTCTAAGTCCTGAACATTTGGCCCTCGGTGAAATATTCAGATGACTAAAGGGACCTAGTAGCCGAAGGCTACGGGATGCACTATACTTAGAAAAATATTTCCTAAGTCCTAAAAGTTGGCCCCTCGGACAAATTACCGTATAAGCATACATTCATACACAAAGGAAGGAAAAAGCGAAGGCATACATTTAAAGGGGAAGGCAAATTCAAATGTCAAAAGCCTGAAGGCAACGCCAATTCATACATTCACAAAGAGTAGGTTGTTACATAGCGGCCGAAGGAATATACGTGTTCATTACAAAGTGATGTTCAAAAAACGACTAAGTACAAATCAAATATTGTCAGCCCCGATGGCAGCCTCTTCCACAGGCTTCGACGTCACATCATCTCCGGCCTCCTCCCCGTCACTGCACTCGGCCATCAAGACGATGTCTTCAAGGTCAGGCCTGGCCACGCCCTCGGGTAGGGGAATCCGGGTGTCTGGCTGGAGAGGGGGGAGACCATAAGCTGGCGGGTCAAAGGCCGCCGGGTCCATCCCCAGATGTCGGGCCATCTTTCGGTAGATGAGGGCCTGAGTGAAAAACTCACCCCATCGTAGTATTCTTTGCCCTTGCGGGCCATCCACTCCCAGCCAGGACCCTTGAACCAATCATCTACGGACTCCTTCACCACCGAGGCCACCCAGTTCTTATGGCCTTCGGTTCTCCACCTGTCCTCAACGAAGCCAACAACAACATCCTCCCGAGCTTTAGCCACGGCTTCTCCCCTGGCGGCTTCGGCATCTTCAGCGGCCTTTTTGGCGGCCTCGACTGCAATCTTCTCCGCCTCCGCTTTACCCTCAGCCATGGCCGCTGTCTTGGCATTTTCAAGAATTTTGCTGAAGGCGGCTTGTCCAACTCTAAGAGCTTCTTCAGCCTCCCGAAGCTGCCTTCGGGCTTCAGCCAGAGCTTCGTCAGCCTTCTGCTTCTGGAGGGCAGATTCCTCCATCCTCCGGATGAGCTCACCAAGGCCGAGGCTTGCCTGCAAAGGGAAGTAGAAAACATCGAAGGATAAGCCACCATGCATTATATGATAAAGTCTAAAATAACCAGGAATGGGGAGAAAGGAAGAAAGGCACTTACAGTAACCGAGGCCTGGAGTAGGGTTGGTTCGGTACGGTATACCGAAATTTCAACGCCATACCGCATACCGTACCGAAAATCCGGTATTGGTAAATGTCATACCGTTACCATACCGAAACTTTCGGTATACCGAATTTCGGTATACCGAAAATTCGGTACGGTATGTAACCCATACCGTTTTATACCGAAAATTAAAAAAAAAATTCTTGGCAATTCCATATAAAGTATTAGCTTAAGGGGTCTACCGAACATCCAAAAAAACTGATTTTAACAAGTCAAAAGTAGCATACAACATCAATACATAAACCGATACCAAAACTAAAACACAATATTTAATCCAAAGTAGAAAATACTAAAATTATGTGCTAATATCTCAGTGTCTACACAATCCATAGTGAAAATTAGAATATTTATCCAACATAAATCAATGATAACTAATGTTTGTAATAACAAATCTTTGAATCATTGTTGCAGCTCCGTATAAATAAGAGATTTTTCTACTTTGGTAATATGATGGTCGTCCGCCGTATAAATATTTTATCAATATACTTTATCATTTATTTATAAATATATAATGAGCATAGACCAGATTGTTCATATTACCAGGATGGTTAAGCTTTAGCAAATAATGACGGTCGTCCGCTACTCCGTGCTTCGTCAATGGCGTCTTCGTCACTCGTCCGCATCTCCATCGTCAATGCTCAATAGTCCACAGCTATGTCACTCGTTGAAGAGAAGAGAAGCTGCTTGACTCTACGTTGATTTATTTGGGGAGAATTTGACTTTGCACCCCATGTTTTGGGTGATATTTGAGTTTGCACCCTATTTTCAAAACCATTAATGTATGCACCCCAATTCACTATAAAATTATTTGACTTTGCACCCCACTCCTTCACAATTTTTGGGCTAATGAGGTGCATACATTAATGATTTTAAAAATGGGGTGCAAAGTCAAATATCACCCAAAACATGGGGTGCAAACTCAAATTCTCCCATTTATTTGATTAGGGATTTAGGCCTCTACTTGGGAGAACTAGAGAAGGGCCGTAGTATTATAAGATGGGTTATTTTAATTTTGAGCCTTGGTATTTTAATAATTTCATTTAATGGGTTTGGCCCTAAAAATTTACAAATTCTATTTCGGTATATCGGTATTTCGGTATATACCGTACCATACCGAAAATTAACGGTATTTGGGTATATACCGAAATACCGAAAATTTAAAAAATCCATACCTTTACCGTACCGAAGTGACCCGGTATGGTATCATACCGTACCGAACTTTTCGGTATACCGAAAATTTCGGTAAATTCGGTATTTTTCTGTATGATATGGCCGGTATACCGAAATTTCGGTATATTTTCCCACCCCTAGCCTGGAGGACCTTGGAGCGGAGGGCATCATCAGCTTGCCGGGAAAGCACAGACTTATCAGTCGGAGTGGTGGCGCCCCTCAAAAACTCCTTCGGGTTCAAGGTCCCGTGCATAATGGCGGTTCCCTTAGTAATGGAGAATTGGACGTGGTCCTAGGGCCAGGTCAGACCGGTGGATGGACCCGAAGGCTTGGGAGGAGAGGACTCATCCACAATCACGACGGGGGCCTTCTTCGACTCCCCCCCCCCCCTCTTCTTCTTCTTCTCCTCCGGATGTGCCGGGCCTTTCCCGACTCTTTTTCTCTTGAGCTCCACCCCCGGGGAGCCCCCTGCATCAGAACCAGCGTCCTCTCCGGTCGCAACTTTGGTCACCTGCCCTACATCCTGGCCCCCCTCTGCAGTTCCCGCCTTCGGGAATATTTCATCCATTGCCCTCTGTTGCGCCGGGGCCTCCTCCTTCTTGCCCTCCTTGGCCAATTGCCTTTTCAGCTTGGCAAGTTTCCTGGCATCCATATCTGGTCCTGAAAAATAAAGAAGGCATACAAATATTAGTTTACCACTACAATAAAGCGAAAAAAATATAAGTATAAGAACTAAAGCCCTCGGCAAGGTAACAACCTTCAGCACTCTCATACACACGGTCAATTTCGGGGTAGCTTTCAGCCTTCTCCCCCATCAAACGATACCGACGAAAGCCAATTTTGAACATCTCATCCGAAAGAATAGCATCCTTGATTTTTACATGTTTGTCGGATCCCTCCGGCTTCTTGGATAGCTTCCGACCATTCTTTTCTAGAATGGCACCCTCCGCCTTTGGATGCCGCCGGAAACTGTCACGAAGGGGAGCAGGAAAAGGGTTCTCCGCAAGGCGAACGTAGCAAAACTTGTCCTTCCATCCCTTATGGGACGAAGGCACCTCATCGAAGAGTCTGAATCCCGGAAGCTGTTGCAAGTTCCCGAAACCTCCAGCATTTGAATGCCCCCCGGCATAAGTTGAATGACAGGAAGAACTGCTCCAATGTTGGGGAGACCCCCCGGCTCCGGCACAAGGATAGGAAGCCCGCTATGTAAGACTGACTATTCGACGTCAGTTGACAAGGAGCAAGTCTTATGAACCGCAAATACTCCAACAAAAAAGGGTGAAGGGGAAATCGAAGCCCCAACTTCACCGAAAGTAGATGGACAGCAAATCACCCTTCGGGTGCCCTCAACAACACATCATTCGGCCTCGGTTCTACCACTTGCGCCGAAGGACCCACGAGGAATTGCGTAGCCTGGTACTCCGCTGCCGTCGCCCTCGTCTTCACCTCTAAGGCCGCAGTATTGAGGAAAGACTACCCTTCGGGAATCCCAACCGGTTGACCCGCATCAACGGCAGCTTGCTTCTTCTTCGGGGCCGCCCTCGCCTTCTTCTTCCTAGTCGGAGCCATGCTGAGTGGTATCGCGTCAAGGGGCCGAGAGATCCCGGATACTGCATCACCCCGAGGGGATGGAACGGCGACGGTGACCCTCATGCTCTCCTTTTGGGCCTCGTCTTCAGCCACTTGGAATGCGAGAGCTAACTCTTCGTCTTCGCATTCTTGTTCAAAGACTTCGGCCTCCATTTCCAGATGGAGGCTCTTCTGCATCTCCTCGGCTACAGTCAAGTCACGATTGCCCAAGGAGCTTTGGCTGGAAGACCCCACCTCCGATATACTCTCGAGAGCTACCGAGGGCTCCCTAGAGATGTCTTGCGAATCACTCGCCGATGACATTTTTCACAACGAGGGGTCGAAGGGCTCAAATGCAGAAGGGTTCCTAGACGGACTCTAAACACTAAATGTCACGCCCCAGACCGTGCCTGTGCCACGTAGACAACCGTCGTACAACACAATAAGAATAACCGCAGTTCATCCTTACCAGATTGCACAAGACGTCCGATAGATACATATGCCAAAACCGATTAGTAAACATACACAACAACATCAACATACAATTAAACACATAGCGGAATATAAGTGTTTAATAAGAATCCACACGAGGGTAAAACAAGAGCTCGCAGGCTCCATTAATAAATAAGTCAAAAATAGTTCCATGAGCATTATTTAATTATTTAGAAATAGAACCAGAGGAAGCACGAACCACGTCTTCTCTCCATCGATCTCCCGAACAACGGGTGCAGGAAGTAAGCTCTAGCTTCAACCTGAAAGGGTGGTTCCCCCGAGGGATCAGTACTACAGAAAAGTACTGGTGAGGGCAAACTGTATGTAATATAACTAACGTTTCTCACATGGGACCCTCAACATAGGGTAATAGTATACATATAGGCATAACTCTTGGCTACCCCTTTTCAAAACATATCGTATACGTATATACATATGAGTAAAATATCCGGCCCGTGGGCCCATTTGTCTTTCAAATCATTTAGGCGTAACAGCCTCGTTAAATTCACCCTTCCCATATCCTACCCTCGAGTGAAGTCACTCGCAGGCTAACTCACCCGATAACAAAGATAATTATTTCGGGGGCCCTTCGCGCTCCCATATCACAGACATGATTTAAATCAAATTCCTAGACCAAGGAAAATACCCTATCGGGAACTCATTCCCGATCACGCATGTTTAATCATCTAAAATCATTACTTGAGGTTCACCTACCTCGGGGACTATTCGTCCTTACAATCATAGTTTACATTCCCGGGGCTAACCCCGCCTTGAGGAGTACGCATACACCCTCATCCTATGTGTAATTTGCTGGAGGTTAACACACCTCAAGGACTACATGGGCCCTTGTTACCTATATGCACTTTGATGGAGGTTAACACACCTCAAGAACTGCACTTGCCCTTGTTACCTGTGTGTAATTTGCTGGAGGTTAACACACCTCAAGGACTACACGGGCCCTTGTTACCTATATGCAATTTGATGGAGGTTAACACACCTCAAGGACTGCATTTGCCCTTGTTACCTATGTGTAATTTGCTGGAGGTTAACACACCTCAAGGACTACACGGGCCCTTGTTACCTATATGCAATTTAATGGAGGTTAACACACCTCAAGGACTGCATTTGCCCTTGTTACCTATGTGTAATTTGCTGGAGGTTAACACACCTCAAGGACTACACGGGCCCTTGTTAACATTTGAGTATAAATGACTCATCCTGGTCCTACAGAGTTTTACCTGACCTTACGCGGTCCCGAGTATTCATCCGTCATGTATAATCTACCACTTACCTCGCCCGGTCGTGGTCTATAATTTCTTTACTAACGACTAGTCCAAGTCTTAGCGTTTAAACCATATTCGAAGCCTTAGCAACCAACGTGGATGAGTCCCACCCGAACGGTCCACGTAAACTTACTCAAAAACTGCATATTGGGTGTAATACCCAATACCCGGTCGGGTATTACCCATACCCGGTCGGGTAGGGTGAGCCAGTAGCCCCTGGGACTGTTTTTAACTAATACCCGGTCGGGTCTATACCCATACCCGGTCGGGTCTAGTGTGGCAGACCATTTTTAACCAATACCCGGTCGGGTATTTACCAATACCCGGTCGGGTATTACTTTTGTCTTGGCGATCAACGCCCGTTTGACCGCCCAAACGAAGTCCGATTAACGTGAAATTTTATACACATGTACTTCTTGACGTCCTTAATCCAAAAATGCCCTTTTGGGTCCTTGGAACATCATACATAATTAATTATCACATTTTTAGTCATCAAGCCTACTCAACATGCTTTTCAACTACATTTTTCATATAATCATGGAATAACACATACTTGATTATCTTTAATCATTCCATAAAATATATTCTTGATTACTTTAAGTAATCTCATGTCTCACTCAAAAGTTATAAAGCATAAAGCCGTCTTCACACAACTATTAATAAGTACTTCATACTTATTAATCGTTTATATATTTCGTTCTAGTTTATTCTTCATAACTATATTTAATTTAATGACATGTATGATTAAGTACTTGAATCCTTCAAGAATACCATCTTGAATTACCTTAGTTAATGTCCAACTAAATCATTCATGATTATCCTTCATCAAAAATATTAATAATTCTTTTACTCATTAATCATGCCATTTTCACATAACTTATAATCATTATAGCTAATCACATGTTTAAACACATTTAAACATTTCTATACATATTCACATACTAGATTACTCTAGTTATCTCATACATAGTCCATGTATGCATTTTCATACATTTGACAATAATATATTCATGATTAATCCACAAATAAATCTCTTATTCATTAATCATGTAATATTTCCATAATTCATATTCACCATGACTAATCATGCATTTTAATTCATTTAATCATTTCTCAAATCATTATAAGGATTTTATTTAGGTAATCCCACGTTTGACCCAAGAGTTACAAGACACGTAGTCGTCCACTCACCTCGAAATGACGCTAGCAAGCTTTTATCCTCTTCGTTTGAACTCCGGCGACTTTTGGAATTTTCCGGCGAAATCTCCGGCATCTCCGGCGACTTTTCCGACCACTCCTAGATTCCTTGAGAAGTCTAGAATACCTTGGTAAAATTCCTAACAAGGTTTCACAACCAAAAGTGGTATAAACATCAAAACCCTATGGGAAGGTGTTTTCCGGCGAGCCGGTCTTACTCCGGTCATAACTCCGATCATGGTTAAAACTATCCTTCCAACCCCTCATTATACACATCTAGGAGTGTAGAACAAGCTTAGGGTTCTATAATATGATTTATAAAATCATATGAGATAAAAATGAAGGATGAATACTACTAATGAATTCGTTACCTTGATTTCATAACTTTTTCCTCATTTCCACCATCCTTTCTTCTTACTTGGACCTCCCTTTGTTTGAGCTCAAAGTGTAGCTATGGAATATGATGTGCAGAGATTTTTTCTTGCTTGTTGTGGATGGGTTGGCCGAACTCATTGATAGGAAAAAGGGGGATGGGATTTTTTGTCTCAAATGAGTAATAAGGGTGGAATGGGAGGTCCACCCCTTGTCATCCATATACCAACCATCACCCTCATGAATTATACACCACATTTCCCTTATGTGCAGCCCCTCATTTGTCAACTTGAGCATCCTAAAACGTGGGGTGGCCCCCACTCATGTGGGAGGTCATCCCTTTATGTCCCCGAATGTACATTCGGCCCCGAAAGTTGTATTTCTCGGACTGTTTTAATTATATTTTATTTTATGGGGTCAAATACAATATAATTCATTCTTCCAATTAATATTGGACTCTAAAATGAATAAATATTATCCCACTTTAATTTAGTGGTCCCTGGAATTTATTTCGGTCTATTATCTGTTAAATTCACAATACCGGTAATGGGACCTCATTTGGTCAACCGGCCAATTCTATGGCTCAACATGAGTTTACACCATCACATATATATTATCTAGACCAAGATGAATATAATATGTGGTCCCATAAATATCAGATTGTCCCCGCTCCTAGTGTAGGCTCAACGTGCAAATTACTGTTCAAGTAACAGTAAAAATGAGAACGCGTCATCTCGTAAATTCATTAGTCATTTCTCATGACTCAATATGTGTTTTGATATTTTGTGACACTTTAATAAAATGTTACACTTCTTTTTAAGTGGTCCAAAATGTATGAGCAGATAAAATCTTATCTGTTTGTCCTCATACAAAAATATCTTCAAGGTAGGGTCCTCCAAAAGTACTCTCCTTTAATGTACCAATTTAATCATATATTTATCAACCCATTATTTTGGATTCTTAAAATATTTATATTTCTTCTGTCATTAATTCATAGCCTTCTGAATTATTAATAGTCTGAGAATTAAGAGCTCACAATTATCGATTAGTGGCCCTGACCCACGTGGCCGTCTAGTTGTCATTCTATATATCACTGGGGTCCACGACCCATTCCTACTATCAAAATAGTATTGTTTAAATCAACATAAATTTTTTTATATGCTAAGAATACCACGGGTGGTCACCGCTCCCGATATGAGTCCCGCGTCTGATCAATAATCCTTTATTAATTTAAGACAAGAATTTTATCTTTCTAACTTATCAAGCCTACTCTAGTCTTGATTTACCTCCTTTAACCATGTACTTGATGGAAAAAAAAAGCTCTGGGTAAAATTCGGGTCCGGTGTTACACTAAATCTAAGGCCTCGGATACTAAACTAACCAAAATATGGAGAACAGATGGAGAACTGACCTCTGGGAGCTAGATTTGATCGAATGATTGTTTCTCTCTGTAGAAAAAATCCGACAGAGCTTCGCTACACTGAAATCGCACAAGGGGAAGTGACCCTGGCCTTAGGGTATTTATAGGCGCCCAGATCTGGGCTTGGGCCTGAAAACCGGGCCTCCGGTTACAAAGTCATCATTACTACCGTCGTTTCGCCCAATCGGTAACGCCCGCCCGCAGACAGCCAGTGGATACACACCACGTGGAAGCCCCCCCCAACGGCTATATTTCTGACGTTACATATCCCAACGGCTCTATTACAACGACTATATTCTGGGAACCCGACCTTTCTCCTACACTCCGCTTTATCAAGGGGAGCTCCCGGGTACACTTACCCAGAGGTGCTCCCGCCCTGTGCCCCTCATACTACGTCACAAATGCCTTCGGGCTCACCCCTTCAGAAGCCCATGGCTTCACAACGGGCACACCCCTTGGGAACACACAGCCCTCAAACACATTGAGGACCACGTAACCCCCGGGGAGCACACCTTCATCAACAGTTACCCCCGGCTACGCAACAAGGAAACCCCCCTGGGTACCACGACTTCCACTTGTCAACAAACAAGGGACCCCTCGACAACACAAGAAATATCATCTACAATCATCACGCCCTCATTCTCATGAATTAAGGGCTCCTCCTTCGACATCCCCCAAGATATCAGAAGCAAGCCTTCGGCAAAGAAGCACACACGCCCTCAGACAAGGATAGCCTTCGGCAAGAATACTGCCACTCATTTAGGACCAGGGCTTCACCTTTTCGACTCATCATTGGGGGAATTCGGTGCACTCTTTTTCCCTCATTGGAATTTTTTCCCACAGGGTTTTTTCCAATGAGGTTTTTAACGAGGCATCCCCCCAAAATGAAACGAAAAGCGTCACCCCTCGGCTTCATATTGCAGGCAGGCACTACTCTACTCCTTTTCACCACTTTGCAAGTGCCTCAAGGAGTGAGGGACTGGAGAACCCCTTCGGGAAAAATCTCAAAAAACAAAAAATGTCAAAAACTCCCGCAACGACAAACATGATCCCTCAAGTCCCGGAATGTGGGTAACTGAGGGACTGCCCTCGGCTGAAACATGCACACAACGAACTACTCACAAACTTTACAAACTACAACGGAACAACGGCAGTGGACAAACATAATTACTCCTTTTTCCCTCAAGTACCTTTCGGCAAAAGGAGTGAAGGACTCGTGATGGAGTATATGGCCCAGGGACCCCCGGCCCATAGACTCCTACTACTCTAATCAAGGCCCAATACGCCCAGGTAGCACAACAGGCCCAAATCACAGCGCCCTGAGTACCAAGCAGCCAACAATACACACTGGGGGTGCCTTCGGCCCCTTGACCGAAGGCTCCTGATACTCACAGAAAGGCTATTTTCAGCATACGAAGACACTGGGAGAAGACAGTAAAAACAGCAGCCCTCAGCACCTGGAGCCCTCGGCACCTAGGATGCCCCCGGAAGGAAGAGCCTTCGGTCAATCATCTACGGCCGAAGGCTTCTCCTCGAAAGAATCTCCCACCCACATGCGCTGGATCAATGTACCAAGTACAAACGTCACATCCAACCACAGCATTTAATGCGGCCACATGCGAATGCTAGTGACACCCGGTTGATGTGACCCCTCGGCTGTTAGATGCATGACACGTGTCCCCTTCTTGCATTTATTACTACTATAAATAGCGCCCCTTTTCCCCTTTTATAATCCAAGCTAAACTCGCTCACTACATTCTCAGCAATATACTCTCTCTCTCTCTCTTACTTTTGCTCTGACTTCTCTCTAGTTACTCCCCACAGTAACCCTTCGAATACATACCCCCGGGTAGACTATCCATCATATATATATATATATATATATATATATATATATATATATATATATATATATATATATATACATATATACATATACATATATATATATATATATATATATATATATGGTTCAAATAAGAACATGATCTTAGAAGAGAAATGAGAATTAATCTGAACCATTAGATTTGCTTTAAGTGAAATTCAGTGTGCATTAGATGAAATTGTAATGTGCATTAGATTAAATTGAAATATGCAGCACAAAGAGTGCGATACAGTGACATTATGTGAAGCTGAATTGTGCATTATGTGAAATTGAAATGTGCACTAGGTGAAACTAAAATTTGCAGAATAAAAGGTATGATGTGATGTTATTTTTGTACCTTTTATTCCGCACATTTCAGTTTCACCTAATGAATACTTGAGTTTAAATTTTTATTCTGCAAATTTATATATCATCTAATGCACATTTCAGTTTAACCAAATGCACAATTCGATTCCATATAATACAATACAACAGCCCAGATTCATTCCCATTTCTCTCCTAGGAGTCCGTTCTTACCTGAACCGCTCCCTATGTATGCATGCATGGATGCATGCATGTTGTATGTATGTATGCATGCATGTTGTATGGATGTATGTATGTATGTATGTATGTATGTATGTATGTATGTATGTATGTATGTATGTATGTATGTATGTATGTATGTATGTATGTATGTATGTATGTATGTATGTATGTATGTATGTATGTATGTATGTATGGATGCATGCATGTTGTATGTATGTATGCATGCATGTTGTATGGATGTATGTATGTATGTATGTATGTATGTATGTATGTATGTATGTATGTATGTATGTATGTATGTATGTATGTATGTATGTATGTATGTATGTATGTATGTATGTATGTATGTATGTATGTAAGTATGTATGTATGTATGTATGTATGTATGTAAGTATGTATGTATGTATGTATGTATGTATGTATGTATGTATGTATGTATGTATGTATGTATGTATGTATGTATGTATGTATGTATGTATGTATGTATGTATGTATGTATGTATGTATGTATGTATGTATGTATGTATCACGCCCCAGACCGCATCTAAGCGCGTGTACAACCGCCGTGTGATTAAGTGACGTCACTCGCAAGTCAACCTCACATAATCACACAAGGCGTTCATGAACATCGTTCACACCATACTCAGTAGTAAACATACATAACAACATCACATCATAGATGGAATGAATAGTGAAAAATATTCAACGGTCAATCATAAGCCACATATGGCAAAATGTAGGCTCGCAGGCCAAAACAATGTAATATTACAAAAGTATCCATGGGCATAGTTTATGATTTAAAATAAAAAAGGAAGCACGAACCACGTCTTCCTCTAGATTCTTTCCACTCGTGCAAAGATGTAGACAACAGGCTCTAGCTTCAACCTGAAATGATGGGGGCCCCCCCGAAGGGGTCAGTACAAGTACCGAACGAGTAGCAAGCTAAATGTAGAGTAACTAACGTTTCAAGTATAAGACCCAAACATAGGGTGATACATATACTATTACTTCTTTACCCCAAGTTACAAAATACATATCAGTACTTATATACACTTGGAAATACCCGATCCGTAGGTCATTGTTTATTTGTGAAAATACGGTAGTCAATGTCCTTGACTTAAAACCCCAACCCACCCATAGACCTATGAGTGTATAGGATTCCTCCTGTCCAAATCAAATAATCATAAGGACACTGCCCGGTCCTGAATTACTAAACAGTAACTTATGAGTTTTGAGGATACACACCCGATCCTTGGTTACTCCACCCTATATAACCGAGTTTTGAGGATACCGCCTGATCCTTGGGTACTCCACCCTATATAACCGAGTT